TTGTCTGGTTGATTTTTGGCAAATTCTGAATCGAAACAGCCAAAGATTGAAAATTTATGCATTCATCATGATTAAAATTTACCATCAAGGTACCAATCGGTTTGACTGAAGGAGAATCATTGACTTTCCCAAAATGTTGCGACTTGCATGCAGATCGGCAGGCAGTCTGTCTGTCATTCAATCAATACCCCGCCAGAGGGTGTGATGGTATACAATTGCACCACCACCGCTACTGTTTCGCGCTACTGACCGCGGAATCAACAATTATCAGCTCGATAACCGCGATGATGATTGTAAGTTTGCGCATTATGGTGCTGGCGATGAAATTGGCGTGATTTATAGATTCAGATTGGATCGGTTGTGTCACTTGCCCAAGAAGGATGCCGATTGATTGATACTCCGATTGGATTGGCATTGAATGGCAAACTCGTCGGCAATCAAATGGACATTGCAATTTTGTGCGGCAAATTTTCTACAATTTAAACGAGTTTCTTTTTTAGTTACACTGTTTTCCTTATAATTCATCAGATATCCTACAATGATTTTGAGTAGACCTTATTAGCTTACGATTTTTGCGCGGTCAAACAGGCCCAATATTTTTGGACGTATATCGCATATCAGTGCCATATGGATTTACATCAATTTTGAGGCAACAACGCAACCCACTATCAATTGTCATCTACTGTCATATGATGTGATAAAACTACGGGCTTTTATCGTGAAAAATGTGAGTTTGTTCAATCCAGAAAATTAATCGCATATCAGTCCCATCCTTAAATTTAATCGTCCAGAGGTGAAGTTACAGTTCTGCTTTTTGAGTTGCCATATTTTTCGCTGATATAACATAACATGTAAGCTTCAGTGCAACAGATTTTAACTAGAAAAAATGTAATTAAATATTCTATGATTTTTCAAATTTGTACATGGGAATCGCACTTCGTAGCTTCGACTGCCATTTTCTCAATGCCTACTTTTTACCCTTCTTACAAAGAAGGGTATAGATATCACTTGAAAAACCGACTATCGATCCGAGGCCCGGAGGGCCGAGTGTCATATACCATTCGACTCAGCTCGACGAGATCGGAACATGTCTGTGTGTGTGCGTATGTGTGTATGTGTGTATGTGTGTGTGTATGTAACGAAATGAATGCGCTCACGTTTCTCAGCAACCGCTCAACCGATTTGGACAAACTCGGCGCCAAATGATAGGTCTTGGGGTCCCATTGAACGCTATTGAACGGTTTTGGAATCGGTGAACCGGTTCCGGAGATATGGCCGGAATAAGATCCGGTGAATATGGGCCTTCACGCTGGATTTAACGGAAAACGTATCAAAACCATCATGCGACACATCAAATTAAAGGGTGATACGGTCAAAATTTGGTCAATATCAACTTGACGTATTTCTTTCAATTTTGCATTTAAAAAACCTGAACACCCCTCATTTTGAAGGTGTGTATGTGTAGAATGTTGCTCCTATTTTGATTTTGGAATTCACTCTTCAGTTGTTAAAATGCCGTCCAAGCAAGAAGAGCAGCGTATCAAAATTTTGCTCGCGCATCGCGAAAATCCGAGCTACTCGCACGCAAAGTTGGCAAAATCGCTAAAAGTTGCCAAATCAACCGTTACAAATGTAATTAAAGTGTTTGGGGAACGTTTGTCGACAGCCAGGAAGTCTGGATCGGGGGGAAATCGAAAACCGGAAGCCGCTGAGACGACAAAGAGAGTTGCCGGTAGTTTCAAGCGAAACCCTAACCTCTCTCTCCGAGATGCCGCAAATAAGCTGGGTGTATCGTCTACAACCGTGCATCGAGCCAAAAAACGAGCCGGACTATCGACTTACAAGAAGGTAGTGACTCCAAATCGCGATGATAAACAAAATACGACGGCCAAAGCGCGATCCCGTAGACTGTACACGACGATGCTGACGAAGTTTGACTGCGTGGTAATGGACGACGAAACCTACGTCAAAGCCGACTACAAGCAGTTTCCGGGACAGGAGTTTTATACGGCAAAAGGAAGGGGAAAGGTAGCAGATGTTTTCAAGCACATGAAACTGTCAAAGTTCGCAAAGAAATATCTGGTTTGGCAAGCCATCTGTACCTGTGGCTTGAAAAGCAGCATTTTCATAGCTTCCGGGACTGTCAACCAAGAAATTTACGTGAAAGAGTGTTTGAATAAACGTCTGCTGCCTTTCCTGAAGAAACACGGTTGTTCCGTACTGTTTTGGCAGGATTTGGCATCTTGCCATTACGGTAAAAAGGCCATGGAGTGGTACGCCGCCAACAACGTGCAGGTGGTTCCCAAGGACAAGAACCCTCCCAACACGCCAGAGCTCCGCCCAATTGAGAAATACTGGGCTATTGTCAAGCGGAACCTAAAGAAGACCAAAAAAACTGCTAAGGGCGAGCAGCAGTTCAAGGCAAACTGGCTTTCTGCGGCGAAGAAAGTGGACAAGGTGGCTGTACAAAATCTGATGGCAGGGGTCAAGCGTAAGGCCCGGCAATTCGGATTTGGAAAAGCGGAAGCCTAACTGAATATTTTTCCTGAATTTTATACTAATTGAACTTGAAAAAGAAATTTAATTTGATTTTTTAAATAAACGATTTCACCGATTTACACGCGTTTTCCCTTGACCAAATTTTGACCGTATCACCCTTTACTACAGAATTAAAAAATAAGATCAATGCAAGTCGTGTTAAGTGTTCCAGACCACATTGGACACTCTTGGACATGTTCCGGGTACCCCGGGTAAGTTGCTTGAATATGAATTTGAATTAAAACCCATTAAATCACATTAAAATACGATGATAAGGTGATTGGTAGCCTCACCAAATAGACTACACACGGATATATTCCGGGTACCCCCAGGCAGTGGCGTAGCGGCACTGGATGACACGGGGGTGGGGGGCTTGGTCACTGATAATGACAATAAAATAAATAAACTTGAATAAGTAAGAAGGGTCTGATCACACCATAGGTTGATAAATTCGGGTTTTTCCATATGGGACTGATATGGGATTATAGCCAGTGCACCATCTGTTGGATACACTGTTCCTTATACATAGTACTAGGTACAACCCAAGTAACACAAATTCATAGAATCATGTTGAGTAAACTTCTGTACAAGCAAAACAAGTCATACAAGGGATAAATAAACTGTTATCGAACATGTGAGTTGCTTGGCTACGCAGATACAGATGGTACTGGTTACACACTTAGAAATTATCGCCGACTTCGGTAATGTTTACCGAAATCTCAACAGCTGAACTGTTCGGTAACATTTGTAATTGTTTTAACGCTACTTTAAAGCGAAATCTCCACTTCAGTTACAAAGTTTTCCAAGGTTACCAAAGTAAATTTTGAGTGTGTACTACTATCTTGTAGCGAAAAATATTTAATCTCTAATGTCTGTTTGTCCGTCTTATCTAATCTAATCTAACACCAACACAGCAAGTGCTTGAAAGCATCCTGGAAAATGATATATGTATACCTACATCATTTTTCTTGTCTATTTAATATATGTTCCACATCGAAGATGTGTCACACATATCAAAACGGCCAGGCCTACTGTGCAGCATTTAAGGGGCAAGATGATTCAGAAAACATCGGGCCTGTTTAAATCGAAGATTTAAACACGTTGCTTCAGAATTCAATAAATGGATGAAACGTGGACATCTCGTACCGTACGTTCCGATTTTGGTAATTATATGATTGGTCGGTCGTTGGAAGCATCAAAGACGGTTGGGATATGAGCACTAACTCTTGTCCTAGCCTTTTATGGCTTATGGCTATAGCGCCATTACTCGCTTTCTGAAAAGAGAAGAGGGAAAGGAAAAGGAGAAGGACAAAGGGAAAAGGATTATGTAAACTCTATGAACATAATCAATATTTTTAATTTGAAATATACAATATAGACATCAGTTGTGGTCACTACCCGAGTCTTGTCACTATTATTAAGTCATAAAAAGTAACAAGCACTAAAATGTAATCCTTTCAGTCTGAAAATTCTGATTTCCTAGTTGTCATGACTAGGGTTCGTTGGACGATCTTATATCAGTAACGCACCACAAAAAGGTGATTTCCCAACGTTACTGGTTTGAAAAGATAAAAATTTACTAAATGGAACGAACTCACCAAGTTTAGCCAATTGAACCTGAAGGCTGCCTGACATGTGTTGATGTAGAAGTCCAAATTGTAGACGAAGCTTGACGAAGATCAATATGAACTAGTCTGGTTTATGTTAGTTGCGCGGAATGAACAAATATTCGGATGTATGTAGTCGATTTTTGATGTGCATTGGCAAGCCTTTTCGTGGCCAATAGTCGGGTTCAACGCTGCGACTCAACGAATGATGGAACTAATGATGGGACGCCTCGTGGAGGTTCTACTTGTCTTCGGAACAGCTTCTCAGTGGCATATAATAGGGACTGAGGAACTAGAAATTGTTTCCTGGGCCTGGTTTTGGCCAGATCAGCAACAGATTATAGATAAAAAACTCCACGGAAAAAAACAAACGTCAGGTTCCCTCTAATGTCTGTTTGTCCGTGACTTTAATCACATTTCAATATGTACATACCGCTTTCATATAGCATGAACCAATATAGTAGACTTTCTAGACCGCTGCAGTAGTTAATCGTTAATGCTTATTATTCTTTCTCTATCACCTTGATTTTAAGTTTTGTTGAATTTCCGCTGCCGTTCCTATGTCGCTTTATTTACAGTTCCGAACGTTGCTAACACTTACTTGTAGCAGCTGCACATTTGTTCTCCAAAAAGCTCAAATTCACCTTGAAATCGAATCGGCTCAGAATCCTAGCTGAACATCCTTGTCCCGGCTTCCACTGGCAACCACCGCTAAACAAAATTCGGTGGCTCCGCATCAAGCAGTTGTTTTATGACTCTTCATTCCCATTCTTTTCATCATCTTCTTCTTCTCTCTCTTTCTCTCTCTCTTTTCTTCGTCTATTCTCTCCACGCCATTGAACTCGACATTGACAGAACCACCGAAACGTACTGCCCGGACGCGATCGGCCACGTCCTGGCAACGCACATTGGCAAACGGACCCGCATTCTGGATGGGTCCTTTACCTATGTGGAACTGATGAAACACTACAGCTCCTCGCTCGACGATCCCGAGTGGCACAAGGATAACCTGTTAGTATCCATATCCCGGTCGTCTACTGCTTTTTCTTTCTTTTGGTTTTTGCGTTCGTCGTTTTGTGGCGGTGATGTTTCGTGTCGCTTGCATTCCTGTGCGGAAGCGGATGTGTGGTTATTTTTTTTTGGTCTTTTGCGTGAGGTTTTTTGTTCTCTGAGTTAACGCACATGCAAGCAAAGCTGCTAAAAATTACCTACACAGGGGTCAATATCGTCATCGTAGTCACGTAGTCGGCATTTAGTAGTAACTGCAAACTTGCACATATGTCTCCATTTTGCGCACTATTTGTAGGTTATGAGGATCGTGAGTGGATAGCGAATCACTCGTGGCGTTTATTTTTACTGAAAGTAGGTAATGTCGGGTGGCCACCCGTTCGGAAAAAGTCAAAAATTGAAAAAGCACCGGAAGAAATTCGGGAAAAAGTCGGGAATTTCATTGTTCAATCGGGAATCCAGATTTTTGCTTTCATTTACATGAATGTGGTTCCTACAATCGAACGCTCTAGTTAAGAGCAAATTGAAATCATGAAAGTTAAATAATATTGAGCATGATTGAACACCCAAGGATGCAACTCTGTTATTGTCAGATCAAGTGTAATTACACAGAGAACCAATAGACACTGCTTGGGACTAACATTCATCTTCAATGTATAAATACTGGTGATTTAAAATTATGCAATACCAGTGCCGGCCACATCCGAATGCTGGTCAAGAAAGGAATGGGTAGGAATATGTTGACGTAATAATCGCTTTAATGAAAGCCGAGAACACCTCTGCACTTCCACGAGAAATCACTGGGATGTTGGATAAAAGGGTTGGGTGCGATTGCAGAAGGATGCGTTTTTTTGTAAACGATAAGCTGAAGTGATGTCCTAACGATTCCATACCGCGAAGGAGCTTAGGTTTGAACCCACGGTCTTCTGCTCAGCAATCAAAATCGGTCGCCACTAGGCCACCGAGCTCCTTATATCACAAAACAATTACGATCAAGTTTCCGTTCAACTTGTTGTTACTTTCTTTCGATCCCGGCGACGACCTCACAGATGGCGACAACAATGAATTTGATATGGATCTCAAATCAACACGTCTTTCCTAAAACTTAAATATTACTTCTTTTACGTACCCGTTTTTTACCGAATTTCATTACGCTCAGTAGTGTAAGGGGCCTGGGTTCTAACCCACGATCTTCTTCTCAGTAAGCAAGCTACTTACGTAGCAACAAACTACAACCGACGATCGTTCCTTATCGGTTACAAGAAGCTATTACAATGAAATGAAATCCCAGAAAGTAGTTAACAATGTCTTCCGAACCGGATCAGGCGTACGTCACATTTGTCTAAATATACGTATTACTTTTCCGAATCGTTCCACTGATTTGTATTATTTAAGATTTTCTACAATGAAGGCCAGTAATAAAACGAGGCTTGATCTCAATAAGCAAAAAACGCTTGCTCTATAGCCACCGTGCCCCTTACATTACCACAATGTACGAAAGACTTAATAAAAAGCTATTCAAATGAAGCGATGTCCCCGAAAGCAGCCAACATTGTCTTCCAAACTGGATCACGCATACACCCTTTCCGAAATTCTTAAACCATGAATTACAATACAATTTGTTTTGGTTATTACGGTGCTTTATGATCTCGAAACCCGGCGACGGTGGTTTATTCTGTTGTGGAAGAGCTTGTGATCAAACCCATGATATTCTGCTCACTAAGCAAAAATGATCCCTCCTGGGTGATCGAATTTCTAAAAATAAAACACTCCACGACAGTTCATATAGGGGAAATGGATGTAATGTCGGCCTAAATGCCCCTAATTTGGGCACATACATAAATTCAGCAATCGACTAAATTTTCAATAGCGATCAAAATTATCCATTTGTACCGTCATCTAGATAAAATTGATAAATAGCAGATTTTTAGCGATGGGCCCAATCTTAGATCCATAGGCCAACATTAGAGCCATTTTCCCTAGTTTCAGCTGTTGATAGTTAATTTTAAATATACGAATGATGTCTACGACGGCGACTACGACGACGACAACAGTGAATTCGGACCTTGCCATTTGTCTAGGATATCAAGACCAACAATTGAAAGGCCTGAACTTCACTCTGGAAACAAACCCTGCAAAGCCACCTCGTCGCGAACCGAAGTCCGCCAACGCAAACCAAGAAAATGAACAGGTAGGGGAAATTTTCCTCTACCCAATCGTGTTCCAGGTTTGTGAATGTAGACTTCGGGTCGCTAGAAACGGTCCGTCCACAAAATGGAGCTGAGGCCCCCTCAATTGCTGGTCTTGATATAACATATCTACCCGGCACCTCCACTGGACCTCAATGTCCGCTATCTACCACTGTTTGCAATATATCTAAAAGCAATTACCTTTGTCGTAATACTTCCATGGTCATATGAGAGGAGGTTCGCGTCTAGTGATTTCCCCAGGAACCGTTCGCGCCCACCAGCTACCACCCGTCTAGTCTTGGGCGTATCGAGCGAGGCATCCTTCAGATTGCTCGCAATCTCCGGCATCTGCAAGAGACCAGCAACCGAGCACTTTTTCAAACCGAAAACTTGCTGGTTCACGGCAACGTCGGCCACCGAATCACCGCCAAAACTCGCCCCGGACACATTATCAGCAGTTTCACGGGCTGGGTTCAAACTCGCCGACGTCGACGAGGTTCTCGATAGAACTACACACCGAAAGTGTGGCATCCGAACTTGGAGAACCAGGCTCCTGGGAGGCGATCCACTATAGCACAATTTCATGAACACTTAGGCTATGTTCCATTTGATGAATTTTCACCCAAGTTTGACAGATGGAAAATTTTCAAACAAACCTGCAAGAATAGCAAACTTATTTTTGTCAGACAAGGCATCAGTTTGGACAGACAGACATGTTCTCGAAAATTAGCCGATCAACAACAAAAGGATTTTCTGACATTATAATTTATTTGCGAAGTGTCAAATTTAAGAGAAAACTCCACAAATGGAACACACCCTTAAAACTCAATTACAGCACAAACAAATGGTTAATGTGAGAAATTCAAAATCCGCGGAAGAAAAACATGTGGCATAAATAAGCACGTCATTTATTAAGCGTGGTTTACTGCGATCTCTGAAATCATCAATCAATTTAGATCTGAAATCATAAAAGTTAAAAAATATTGCCCCTTTCCTCAAAAATAATTTTGAATTATCATAAAACTAATATACAGTGGACTCTCCACACATCAAGCTTCAGCTAGTGCACATCGAGTTGTAGACAGTTAACTGTAATATCAACAATTAAACGATAGTGATGAAATCGAGTTTCAATTTCGCTTACTACACCCAACTGTAAATAGGGAAACATTGGGAATTTCAAAATGAAAATTCACTGGTCACCCTGAATTCATGATACTCTTGCAATATATTTACCACCCTAGAATCAACAAGCACTCACGATAATTGCACCCCCGTCCTACCCCATCCGGGAGCCGTTGATGGAGGATCAAAACATTTTCACTCCATAAAAAGTACCATAACAACACATCCTGAATAGATAATGAGCCACTATACCTATACTTGTCCCGTTTCGTCCTCCGAAAATCCTCGAGGTCGAGCAAAAAAAAATGCTCCTATTCTGATTCCCACTAATTTATTAAAAACGCCCGCAATAATGGCCTCAACCTTGACTTTCTGACAACCTCCTGGGCGATTATATGCGCCTACCTACCGATACCGTCCTGGGGGGTCCGGCCGACTAGGGGTCACGCAGTGGGGGAAAACGAAAAACGCTTTATCCGTGCCCTGCATACATAATTCACCAATCATGCACCTACGAGGAAAGGTGTACGGATTTAGGTTTCCTTCTTTTCTTCCGCTGCCACAATTTACTTGGGCTGATTTCCATATCGTATTGTGTGCATCTTCGGGGGTGAAAATTTATTATTCACCGGACGCTCGCTCCGTCGGTTGATCCGGTGTGGGTGGGTGGTATCAGGATACATGCACCGTGAAGCGGTGAAGGTTTCACGGTGACCTTGGAGTGCAATGCTCTATTTCAACCACCACCACCTTAGGAGCAGGAGATGATAATTAAATTGAAGTGTCACCTAGCTGAAAGTATACACAGGTACTTGGCGAAAGGGGAATTGTGTTTCAGTTTTTTTTTTTGCATAACTATCCTGAACAAACAGTCACTGTGGAGCTGGGTAGATGAAGATACTTTGAGGCTTAGCATGAAAGGAAGACATGGATAGTGCTGGGGCAGGTGCACCGTGAAGATGCTCCAAGTGTGCGCCGTATTTAGCAGCTCAAGGCTAGGTGGCTAGTGTTGATTTTGTGTTTAGGATTTGAATTATTTTCTGCTGAAGTGGATGGTTCTGTTTCTATACCGTATTGTGTCACTTCGAGTGCTCGTTTGTATGACGTACGTGTAAAGAGTGTCAACAATGGGCTGCGGTAGAGTGGGTTCAATGTTGATGTCATCGCGAGGAAATTGTGGGATATTTTTGCTTCGAGTGGGTTTCCAACAACTTGACCAGTAGCTGTGTTGGAAAGTTCATTTTCAAAAATAGTTCTTTCGCAGTTCTTCAGAGAATCATTTCGCTGAAGAGCTAGCTATGTGGAAATCGCGAACGCAATGAGAATAACAGAAACAGCTCAGCAAACGATTCCGAAAGAGAATTCCAATTTCGGTCTCTCAACCTGTTTCACAGAAAATCGAGAAACGATCTAACTGAGGTTCTTGTCTCTAATGTCATGTTTAAAAAAAAAAATAACTGAAAATATTAACTGAGTTCTTGGGCAGAACGCATCGGAATGTTTAATAAAAGGTGGGTGCACGTTTGATCCAGTTTGGGATACATTATTCACTGCCTTCGAGAACGTAATTTCATTTGAATAGCTTATTTAACCACCAGTGCTTCAACAGTCGTCACGTCGGTCATAGCTTGTTATGATTGGTTGAATCATGCGTAAAGAGCAAATCGAAACATTGAACGTTGCGTGCAT